AGGGGGAGCGGGCGGGGCGCGCGGCGCGGAGCTGGGCTCCGAGTGCGCGGGGCTTGGCCGCCGGGAGATCCGAGCCGAGGTCGCGCTGGGCCCGAGAGGAGCGCACGAGCCGTGGAGGTGGTGGACGAGGGAGGGAGGAGCCACCGCCAGCGCCGGCTGTCGCCCGGAGGGAGCAGACACCCGCCGCAGGCCATGAGCCGCGGGGCCCCGGGAGACCGACCGCGGTCCAGGCATCGCTCCGCCGGCGCCCCGGCCCGCCCGGCCGCAGCTGCGCGCCTGTAGGTACGGCCTGCTCGTCCTCAGTTCTCTCGCCCCCCGTGCGTCGCCCCGGACCCCAGGGGTCCCTGAGGGCGCGCGTGTGTGTGAGCGCCGCTGCCCCAGGAGCGCGGCCGCACGCGCCTCTGTCCGCGTGTGTAGTCTTTGTGTGCGCGGGTGGGAGGGAGCGCGACGGAGGAGATGCGCCCCCTGTGGGGATCGGCTTCCGACCCCCATCCCGGGAGGAGCGGGAGTAACGGGAGGGGCCGAGCCGCCTCCGGAGCAGCTGTGCCTCCGCCCCCTCCTAGGGCCCGGGCCAGCGCGGGGCGGCGGGGGGGCAACGGCCCCCTGGAGGAGGGTCCCTGGCTGGGCGGGGGGCCCCGGCCTTTTCCCTGGGCTGTGGGGGCGGGGAGGGCCAGCCTGGAATGAGGGTGTCCCACCGGAGGGACACCTTCAGACCACAGTGGCGGCCGGCACGCCCTCCATTCGGCCCAGGCCTTCTTTCTCAGGGTCCCCGTTCTCGACCCGCCCACCCCGAGCGCTCTCGGCCGCCTGGGGTAGTGGGGAGGACCGCTGAGGGTGCCCGAGGCCGGCGCCTTTAAGAAGGGGCGGTTCGTGCCCTCCATTCAGGCCTTTCGGCCTCGGCCATTGATGAACCTACGGGCTGCGCGGGGCCCGGAACCGCGCCAGCCCGTCGACCGAGGCGGGCGGAGACAGGGACCCCACGAAGTGAGGTCTTCAGGGGGAGACGTGCACAGGGACTGGCCCCTGGGGAGCTGCGCGGGGGGTGGGGGTGGGGGGACCCGGCATCCTCAGGAGTGACTGTGAACATGTTAAACCAGAATCTGTGTTGACGCCGAGCTGGTGCAGGGGAGAGCCCCTGGGTCTGGAGTCAAATCTGGGTGGAACCCTACCCCTGCCCTTTGAGCCTCCATTATCTACCCTGTAGAACGGGAATGGTGCTGCCTGCATCCCCCTGGGTGACCTGCAAGAACTGCCCCCTGCAACCCAGGTCCCGAGTATGAGGTGAATGAGCACCCTGCCAGGGCAGGAGGAGCAGGGGTGGTTATCCTAACAGGCTTTGGCTGGCTCAGTCGGGGGTGTGATATGAACCCCCTCCTACTCTGCCCGCCACTTTAAACAAATCTCTTCCCTCCCAGCCCCCCTGCTCCATCCAAAAGGCCGTTGGTTGGGGACTGACCTAGAACCTTTCAGTTCTAGGAAGTTTGAGAGCGGCCAGGCAGTGTGAGAGGCTGGTGTGGGTCAGAGCATTTGTTAGGGTCTCAGGCAGTTTCCCACAAGCTGCTTTCTTCTACTCCTCTCACCTGGGGCGTGAATGATGGTGGGCAAGAGTTCCGGAGCCGGCTGGTTGAATAGCTCTAAGTAATGGAGAGTTCATGCATGTCTTCTTATCCTTATGGTGGAAAACCTGTCTAACGTTTCTAACCCTCCTCCCTGTTTAGTGGGTCTCCCTGCACTCACACCCAAAGGTGGGCTTTTCTAGGGAGTGTTGGAGGGAAGATACCCCCCTCCTCTTGCCAGGTGGAACCTGGGCACCTCCAAGGCTGAGCATTTGGTTTCAAGATGACTCCTGCCTGGCTAAGGGCACCATGCTGTTTCTCATGTAATCTCCACAACAACCCTGTGGGGGTTGTACTACTATTATCCCCATTTTACAGAAGGAAAGAGATTCAAGGAGGTGAAATGACTTGCCCAAAGTCACTCAACCAACAAGCCAGGCCCCCAAACCACTTCTCTCTGACAAGAGCCTGGTTCTTACCTCTTGCACTGTCTACCTATCCTGGATTGCAGGGAATTGGGGGTTTAGGGGTCTCGTGGCTGCTGGTCCAGTCTTGAAGGCTATCTCACTTCCACATGGGACGTGGAAGGGTGGTGGCAGCTTTGGAGTCTGGGGAAGTTTCTCTTCCCCCCTCACCTGATTGGGTCTGTTTTTATGACTGTACTCTGTCCCAGGGGAGAGCAGATGTGACTTCTCAACATTTGGAGGAGGTCACAGCCCGCACCTGTCTGGGCACAGGTAGACAGGGCATCGGTATGTGGGAGTACAGCATCTTTTGGCTCCACTGGGTGAAGCAGGGTTTGGGCTCCATTCGCCTGGTACCTCCAATCCTCTGTATGTAGGGCTTCCTGGGTCCTATGGTGGGTATAACACTCATCTGGTCTGGTGAAGGCAGGTCACAGCAATGTGCATTGTGGAGGAGTTGGGGGGAGGGGGGTTCGAGGCAGGGACAGTATAAAGGGGGTGTTCCCAAGGCCTCTGTGGACTTGGACCCTGCCAACTATTCGGGCAGAGAAGTGGAGCAGGTGGGGCAATGGGTACTAAAAGACTCTGAGCTGAGGACAAGCAGGGGCTGGAGGAAGAGGATGTGTTAGAACTTGGATGTGGGGAGTTTGAGGTGCTGGGTATCAACCAGGCAGGGAGTTTGATTGCTCAGAGAAAGGCTCAGGGAACTTTTACAAGCATCCACAATGCCCAGAGTTCTGGGATATTCAGAACCCAGGGGAGGCACGGTACGTGTGTCATGAAAAAGTCAGAAGGCAGACTGGTGGGCTGAGTGGTAGGGGTTGAGGGTGGCATTCTGCAAGTTTGGGGGGCTGAGTCAGGGGCTAGGGAGGTCTGGGAGAAGTATGAATCAAGGCCAAAGCGAGATCCATGACACTGGGAGGGAGGGAGAGGCTGCAAGGCTCAGGCCAAGGCTGGAGAGGGGGTGCCTCTGCTCTGCAGCCCCAGGAGAGGAGGGCAAGGCTAGTGCAGCTTAGAGCCATGCCAGCCTGCTCTCCATCTGCAGAGCCTGCCCAGGAACTGTCCAGCACCAGGTGCTCCTGAAGGAAGATGGGATTTCCTCCTAAGCCCCCAGGCCCTGGTGCAGTTTATTGTCCTGAACCCCACTTGTGCTTATATGACATCTAATCCCTGCAG